TTTTAATAAGGATATTTTTATTTAAGTAATAAAATTATATATAGAAGAGAGTAGAATTCTACCTAATGAGTATTCAATGGGTTTTCCTTGAATGGAGGTTTTGTTTTTCTTTGTCTTTTGTTTTTTCTTTTTGATGATCAGAAAAGAGACTTCAGTGAGTAGTAGAGACTTAGTATCAACCTTACTCAGTTTTAATGGCCTTTTCTGTGAACCTAAAGTTAAATTAGTTCCGTCATCATCTGGGTTCCATTTGGGTTTCCTTTATTAGGAAAGAAAATAAACAAATACGAGTATTTTCATCTTGCTTGGAGAAGTAGGGGTAGTTTGGGGAAGAAATCAGAATATATTTTCAAGCCCAATACCTGGGAATAAACCCAGAAAGAATCTAGAGCCAGGAGTAACAGTAGCTCCCGTCGCTCCTTGGGTAACTAACCATTCTGGGGCTATGAATTTGGGCTCTCTTATTCCCAAAAGCAAGTGGTAGAATGAGCTGGTAAGGCTGTCTAGTGAATTTTCTCTTTCTTGGAGACCTTGTCTGGGGTAAGATGGTTTTCAAAAAAATTAACCAGCAAGCAGGAAAATTGTGTGTGAAAAGCAGGTATGACCTGAAGTAAATCTCTTATAGTCCGTGAGTTTTACTTTTTCTTCTAAAAATTAGGGAGCAGGTTAATTCTTTCCCAATCAATTATGTGAAGATAAAACTAAAGAATAGTCAGACAGAAGTTGAGATAGGCTGAGGGTAGTTTAGTCATACTGTAGGGTACATAAGAATTGTCCGGGAAGTTAGATTAGGAAACTGCAGAAATCTGAGATCCACTTTTAAAGATCCCAACTCAATAGATCTGGGAATTTTTAATAAACACCTCAGGCATTTCCTAAAGCAAGTAGTTCAAGGACTATACTTTCAGAAAACAATGAACTAAATGTTCTCCAAGCTGGCATCTACCCTACCCTAGGATTTTGTTTGATTATGAGTGAGAAGCCCATCTCTCGCTGTTAAAACTTGGTCCCAATATTTCAGTGGTTTACAGAGATATTTACAATATGAAAGGATTAATAAAAAATTGTTGAGAAAGTAAAGAGGTAAAGGGAATATAACAGTGGGAAAATAATAAAGCCAGAGTAGGCTTAATGTCATGAAATGCAAATATATGGTTCTGTAATATTGTAAATATTTGATATCAAACTTACTGAAAACAACATCAAGAGCAAAACAAGTGCAAATAAGTCACCTTTACTGGCACAAGGACCTGAAGCCACATAGAGATACAAAGGTGATGTTCACCGCAGCATCCCTGTAATTGACAAAGATTTAGTGCAACACTATTTCTTACAGTCACTAGCTTTTGAGAGTCTATAGGTGCCAAAGCAATATCACCCAGTTTGTAGCTTGTGCCCACAGTTAGCTTCTTCCCACTGCTCTTTAACCTGGAAAGTAGCCTAGAGACTCCTGCTGGAGGTGTGTATGGCCAGGAACATCAAAGAAGCCAGACTCTAGAACCTGATTTGCATTGTTGCCCTTAACCTCCCTTCCCTTCCCCTTCTCTTGGAATATGTCCAGAGAAATCGCATCCTCTCTTGGCCAACTACCCTTCTAACCATCCCTGGGACAAGAGAGCCTGCCAACAACAACTATGAAATATTCACTCTATGTAGCGGAGTATACCAAACAGTCCAGACCAGAGCATTCTGGGTGGAGCCAGGGTGAGTTTACTGGCTGGGACCCCATAACCTTCCCCTGAATTCTGTGTCAGCCTTCCTTGGAGAGCATATTAAAGGGGAGAAAACACTCTGACCCTCTACTCACCTTAGGTTCATTATAATTTAGACTGGCAAAATCAGATCAACAAGAGAAAAACAAGAAAAAATTTCTTAACATGAGCATGATGCATAAACATGGAAACACTCAGTGATGAGTGACTCAAAGGTGTGTTTAGAACATGGGCTTATATATCATCTTAACAAAAAATAAAATTGTAGAGAGGTGACAAGACAATGGAAAATGACTTTTCACTCTCAGGGTGGCAAGTTGTGGGAAGGTAAATCAATTGGAAAACTAAGAAATGATAAGGGCTAGTCAGTAAGACTTGTGTAGATTCCTATGTTGCCTTTTTCAGGCTGATAAGGGTCTAAAGTTGTCTCTGGTGATTAGTTTCTGTTCTTCCTGGTAGAGAGGGTGAGATACATTTATAAATTTATGTCCTGCTTTTAGGAGATCAAGAGCTTTTTATGTATCTTCTTCTTTTCAATCACCTTCAGCTCAAAATAATCCTTTTGCCCAAGTGGTATCTCCTGGAATATTCTGCAACCCTTCAGTATCCTCCTGGCTGTGTGTTTCTTGATGCTGAAAGCAGTCATGCCTTCCTTGAATTCTGGCCTCTATCACTTTCTCCCTTTTCTTATAATCATTGACCTTCTGAACCATAAGACTCTTGAAGGTAACTTTTTAAATTCCATTTTGTGTGTTCCTTACATCTTTCACACTGTCTGTCACATAACTGGATTTATAGTAGGCTTTTAAACAAAAATAGCTATTATGACTATTGAGGATATGCTCATAAAGCAGTAACACTGATTGTACTGTGTGCTATGCACTACAGTAGCTACCTTACACATGCATTCTTTTTAATTTCATTGCCATTACTGATTTAGAAAATAAGTAATATGCCAGAGGTTACAAAACCAATAAAGTAATGTAGTTTAATTCGATTCTTTCTACTTTATCCATCTATCAGATGAATAATTTGCTATACTGTATTTAATTTTCCAGCTCTACATGACCAAATGTCCATAAAATGACAGTTACCTGGAAAGCTGAACATTTAATCTCTAGTTATAGTGACAGCTTGGAATTGTAGACAAGTCATTATGTTTATAGGTGCTTAAAACTTTATCAAAAATAGGGCTCTGCCAGGTGTGGTGGTGTGTGCCTGTAGTTCCAGCTACTCAAGAGGCTGAAATGGGAGGATTACTTGAGCCCAGGACTTCAAGGACAACCTGGGCAACATACTGAGACCTCGTCTCAAATTTTTTTAAATGGGGTTCAAATCAAGTCATGATCAGTCATAGCTGTGCTGTTGTATACAGCTTAGCACTGCCCATTTTAGCCCTTGATGTTCTTGGAACTTGAGCTACCACAGGCAGAAAAATTCAAAGCTCAGCGTTTATTCTCTGGTGATTTTCTGGCCAACTTGTTAAACTCAAATGTGGTACTTTGGTGATTACCCTAAACTTACTTGCTTTTATGTAAATAATCAAATGGATTGTTCCACCATTTAATGCCTTTATTTTTCCTCTCTCAACTGAGGTCTTGGTGTGATTATCATCGGCTTAGCCGTGACAGTGACTGGTATCACTGGTTTATCCACCTCTGCTATTGTCACAAATGGATATGTCAGAGGAGGTAATTAAACTTGTGACCTGTACGATCATTTGTAAGGTAAAGGCAACACAGGCTCTATTAGTTCACCACTGACCTTTCTGGAGTGTTTTCAAAGGTAATGCAAGTTGGTTTATTTTTACTCTTCCTCCCCCAGGCAAAAGGATGCAAGAAAAATGGGAAAGGTTAACCTTTGTCAAACCCCCAACTTTCTCATTCAGGTTCCTTTCAAGCAAGAAAGAAGGTTAAATGTCATGTTTTCTCTTTTCACAGCCAAGGTATATCCTCTCCCAGGACATCAGCATTAAGTCAACTTTTCCTTTTCAAGGCTACATTTTAGATTGTGTTTACTTTTGGAAACCATCCTTCATCAAAATGAGCCGTTCTCTGACTTCATCTTTATGCCAAGCATACCAGTTTCTCCTTAGCACAAAGAAACTCCATTGGGATCTGAGGCATGGACCCGAAAACTTAAAGGCAGTATAGTTTGCAGCGATAGGGAATCCAAGGAAAAAAAGTAAAATGTATTATCTTTTATCTTTCATTGCTAACAGGTCTTGGAGTTCTCATAATTCTTCTTTCCACCATGGTAACTTCTATTACTGGGTTGTCAACTTCTGCAATAGCAACTAACGGGTTTGTCCGTGGAGGTAAAATCTTTAAGATATCTAATGCCCTCATCATTTGCTACGGGTAGGCAAACATTTTTATATACTTTTGTGATGGGATCAAGGAAGTAGCCAAATATTCTTAAAGACTGGCTAGCCTTTTGGAGGAGCCAGATGAAGAAGAAAATGTAAGGTGCGGTGAGTATAGTCCAGGTCTACATTGATTTCTTTTCTAACGGTTCTCTCTGGCACATTGCAGGTCATGCCTTACAGAAGTGCACATTTCTTGGTTAAACATTTTATTTTTCAGGCCAGTCTGCATATCTCTTGCTGATGTTTCTTGGAAAACAACTCCTGCATATGGCTTCAGTTTTAAAGTTTAGTACATTTCAGGTATTTCCTACGCCCTTGTGGAAAGAGATCTTTTAGAACATTTCAGGTCTTCATAGGAAGATTGATCCTTCTGTGGCAAGATTCAGACCACTGACTTCTGAAGTACTGGTGACCTCTTTCAGTACTGGAGCCAAACACTTTTCTTGGGGGATTTTGCAGGTCTTGGAGTCATCATCATTGGCCTGAGTGTGGTAGTGACGACACTCACAGGTATTTCTATGTCTGCTATTTGTACAAATGGAGTAGTAAGAGGAGGTAAGTCCATTAATTTACTTATGACTACAGGTTTGGTGACTAATCATTTCTGAAGCTGATTTAATATCGGAAGTGAAATTTGAATTTGCTAATTAGTCTCCAACATCTTTTAAAAAATGAAACAAAGTAACCCAAAATTTAAAGATCAAGGCAAATTTTTTTCTCAAAAATATTTCTATAAAGTTAGAATATCTCCAGGAAATATTTATTTCACCTATTTCTTGTGATGAAACATGTTTATAAAGTGGAGAGTAACTATGTGTCTAGTAAGAAGTCATGGACTATTACAGTAAAATATATGGTTCCTTTGTACATTGGATGAACCTCTCTGGCTCTCTCCCAAGTATCCTCAGCATGGGTCTTCTGCAGTGCCCCAGTCCATAATGCTGACGATTCCTACTCAGTAAACCACTCCTGCACCTGGGACTCAGGATTCAGCCCAAACATTATGTTCCCAGTGGCCAATAGGCAAGGGAATATCATCAAAAGGAAAGAAAAAAATAAGGAATTACTTTCAAATCATCTAGGAGCATGTAGGCCTATGCAGAAAATAAATGGGATGAAGTTTATTGCTCTTCTCATTTCCCTTCGTCCCCCTACCCTTCCCTTTTGCTTTCTCTGGTTCTCTACTTAGGTCCCTCATCAGATCTCCCCACTCAGGGCCTTCTAAAACACTATCTGACACATAACACACTTTCACGCCTGTCTCTCATTTTGACCAACCCTGCCTGTCCCTCATTTTGATCAACCCTACCTAGGTCCCTGGCTAGCAAAGCTGTTGAATGTAATCTGTGTAAAGGAAATAATGGGGATTTGCTCCACCTAGAGAATATGTTGCACTTTTAGAGAGGACTTTGATTCATGAAGCTAAAAGAGTTTCTATAGTGAAAGAAAAATTTTAATCAGCAAAAAGTCATTTTGTTTTGTTTTTAGATGTCTCATTTAATGTCATTCTCATGCCAAATCCCTCTGCCTCCAAAACCACCTCAGTGATTCATGAAGCTAAAAGAGTTTCTATAGTGAAAGAAAAATTTTAATCAGCAAAAAGTCATTTTGTTTTGTTTTTAGGTGTCTCATTTAATGTCATTCTCATGCCAAATCCCTCTGCCTCCAAAACCACCTCAGTATTAGGAGTCACTAATTTACTGTGGTCTGTGATAATCAGGCCTCTTAACATCTAGTCCTATCTACTTTCAGTAACCTGCTCTAGGGACTTCCTAGGCCATTGGCCAATCTAGTTCAGTCTTTCATATGCACAGATGTACACAGCCTTGTCTAGAACTATTTTTTCAATGTCCAAGAGAGAAGGAATTGTTCCAAGGCCCTCCCTACTTTTCTTCCACTTGCTACCCCTATGCATATATGACTACTTGGTAATAATCATGCCTTCTTGAACTAAAACCATAGAAAACCAAGCCTCACTTATGGAATGGATAGTACCTAGCACTAGACACATATTTTATGCAGTGAATATGTACCAGGAAAGTGTATCTATGTAAAAGGTATGAAATATAAATATATAAAATTGTATATGCAACAGAAAGGAAGTTAGAAGATAAACTTCACCCACTTCATTTTCTATCCAGGCTTTCCTACTCCTGAAAACTTTTTGATAGAAAATTTTACTTCAGTTGCATTATTCATTGAACATTTCAATATTGCTTAAATACAAATAATTTTTGTGTAAAGTTTGCTGTGTTTTCATTTGTAGCTTATCTTTTACATTTAGGTTTTAATCAATTGGATTTTATGGTTAGGATACTGCTATTATAGATGATGTACAGAGTACCAAGAAGGGCTATTTTTCATTAGGGTGATACAAAATTCCTAAAATTATTAGAATGTTATCATATTTTTATTAGATTAATTCACATTTCAAATGCTCTCAGATGTTCAAAATTATCTGGTCTTATAAACAAGCAGTTCCTCCATGTAAAGTGTGTTCATTTCTTGTTTCAGGTGGGGCCTACTACCTCATTTCCAGAAGTTTAGGCCCCGAGTTCGGTGGGTCAATAGGCTTGATCTTTGCTTTTGCCAATGCAGTGGCTGTTGCTATGTATGTGGTGGGATTTGCTGAGACTGTGGTAGATCTTCTTAAGGTAATTAAAAGCTTTTCTTTTCTTTAGCCAAGCAAGATAATTCCATTAGTTTGCTTTTCCAGGGCACTAGGGGCTATTAGTATAGCCAGATGAAAGGAAAAAAGTTGGATATAGTGGAAGGAGCCTGGGCTTGGCATCAGAAGATTTGGCTTGAAGTCCAGGCGCTCACATTTGCCAGCTGAGAGACATTGCATCAGCTCCTTGATTCATCTGAACCTTGTTTTCCAAATCTATAATATGGGTTATAATTCTGTTAAATGTATTTCACAGAAGTGTGGTATAGATCAAGTGAAATAGTGTGTAAAATAATGGATATTACTATCAGAAGCAATACTATGATTATGGTTATAGAGCTCCAAAGGGAAAGAAAGTTTAAACATTAAAATAACTCACTGCAGAAAACTAGGCATTTTCTAGGTAGGTGGCCAGTCTAGGGTGGTGCATGCTCAAGCACATTAACTAACTGGTATACCAACTAACTTCTAGTCCTTTCTTCATGCTAGTGAAGGTATTCACTGAATTCAATTGGTAAAAGTGCAACTATTTTAAAATTAGATAAATAAATAAGCTTATAAGTTATAAATTTATATTATCTTCAAGAGCTGTATTATCAGGTTTTTGTGGTCTGTTCTTAAATTGAATAGCACTTAATTTCCAGCATTCACATTGTAAAACCATTTTTATTTTTCTAGATTTCCTCTAATATGCAAAAGTGAGTGCTCATTCTTCTGAAGCAAAACAAAACTTGTATATGTACACACACTTTTACTGAGTGCTACAATAGCTTCCAAAACTATGACTAGAAAGAATCTCTAAAACTTCTAACTCCTAACCTTAGCTATCAAAGGTCTATTTCCACAGAAAAAAAAATTAACGCTAGGTTCTTTAACTTCTCAAATTTTGAATGTTTCAATTTGCTATTATCCTAAATGGCCCCAGGTGTTAGTACACAATATTTCTTTTTACTGTTAAATGCTATAATAAGCACCAGGAGCAGTGGCTCACACCTGTAATCCCAGCACTTTGGGAAGTGGAAGCTAGAGGATTGTCTGAGTCCAGGGTTTTGACACAAGCCTGGGCAACCTGGCCAGACCTCGTCTCTACCATAAATAAATTTTTAAAAATTAGCAAGGTGTGTTGGCGTGCACCTGTAGTTGCAGTTACTTGGAAGGCTGAGGCGGAAGGATCGCCTGAGTGCAACAGGTTGAGGCTGCGGTGGCCATGAGCATGCCACTGCATTCCAACCTGGGCAACAGAGTGAGACTCTGACTTAAAAAAAAAAAAAGCTACAGTGAGACACACTTGCAAAAAGCTGTATCTCTAACCATTTAATATTTCACACCCCCAGGAGAGCGACTCAATGATGGTGGATCCAACCAATGACATCCGGATTATAGGCTCTATCACGGTGGTGATTCTTTTAGGAATTTCAGTAGCTGGAATGGAATGGGAAGCAAAGGTGAATTTCTCAAAAATGATATTATCAACATCATCTGGTCAGGTCCTGAAAAAAATTTCAGGAATAGGAGGAACCCCAAACTCAGAAAGAATTGCTGTTATTATTTACTATGGTGAAAGGATCAGGTTAGTGCTATGTGGAACACCAAAACCACAAAGCACAAAATCCAGACAGTCATGATTCAACTCACAAGTCACGTGACAATCCTGTGTTTTGTCCTTCTTTGTGCTGTCATCACAGCGACACAGCCACCGAGGTGGCTGCCATCTTCATGCACAGGCCCCTTATGATCACAGCAATGATGCACTCTGGAAGCCTGTGTCTCTCAATCACAAACTCTGGTATTGCCTTTTAAGCTGCCTGTGGATGTTAAAGCCCAAAAGAAATGACAAGTGTATTGGGAGAAGGTACTAGAGGCAAAAGCATTCATTCTCTTCTGAAACTTAGTACTTCACCAGCAACTTTGAGGGCATCATATGCTGCAGGACCACAAAACAACTGAGTTTAACTAGTTATAAAACAGATAGCAAATTTCTGAATAATGGTAAGCATACCTTTTGCCTCCTTTATGAATCTACCGTGATTGATACAATTGAAAATGTTCCTACGCGCCTGGAGTTGAAGTAACTAGAGCTCAAGTGGTTGTAAGAAATGGAAAGATGTTCAAAGACTCCCATCTATAAAAGGCAGTAGAAAACATTCTTACATGATGTTTTTTAGATTTTGCATTTGCACATTAAACAAAAATGTATTAAGTGCCTACCATGTGATGAACATTCTGCTTGGCACTAGGTGTTCAGTTTTGACCAAAACAGGCAATCCCTGCCCTAGTTCAATATATGGTCTGTGGATATATGAGTAATAAACAAGTGAATGAATAAATTTAAAATGATAAATTATAGAAAGTGCTGTAAAGAAAATAAACAGAATACTGAGAAAGAAACAAAACAAAAACAAGGGGAAGTCTACTGTAAACTACTTTACTCCCAGGGGAGCAGTGAAATTTAATGGTTGTCAAAGCTAGTATTTAAAGCCCCAGTTCTATAGTCAGAGTACCTGGATTTAGATCTGGTTTATATCTCTGTGACCTTCAGTAAATTATTTAAACTCTCTGTGCCTCAGTTTCTTTATCTTTAAACTGGTGATAATAATATTACCTATATCATAGGGTTGTTAGCTTGTTAGTGGTATTATCTACCTAAATAAACATATGCAGGTGAAGTTAAAACTACACCTGTTCTATTGTAAGTCCTCAGTGAACATATAGGTGTTATTATTTAGATTAAGTGGTCAAGAAAGGCCTCTCTGAGGAGATAACAGACTTAAAGGACGAGAAGAAGAAAATACTGTAAGCAAAGAATAGAGTGAAGTATATCCCAGGTAAAGGAAATACCATATGATAACACCAAGTCATAAAAGCCTTGAAATATTGGAAGACCATCTGGCCAGTCTACCTTGCAGATTGCTTGTACTGAGCACACAGCGGCAGCCTGATATCAAGTGCCCTGGGCATCACAGGTATTCTACGTATCATTCTGTGTGCTCAAACTCCTTCTGCAGTTAGCACTGGGAAAAGCAAGAAACTGTAGGTGCTCTCCCTGGAAAAAAACTCATCTATCAGTGTTAAAACTTTTAGCTCCATTTACATTACTGTAGGAGTTACTCACCTGCTACTTGGAATGTTCTTGAAATGTCACCTTCAAGTGTCCAAACACATGCTTCCAATGAAAATGTAGTGTCTACATCCAGGAAGAATAAGGCTCATTGAGATGCCATTCTATAGAGATGCATTTATTACCTACTCTGGGTAGCAAAGTCTGAACTAAAATAATGAGATAGAGTCTTTCTCCAATGTATAATCATAACTTTCATAATATGTAAAAAGCTAAATAAATCTAATGTGGTCTCCTTTTACTTTGCCATTCCAGGCTCAAGTGATTCTTCTGGTCATTCTTCTCATTGCTATTGCAAACTTCTTCATTGGAACAGTCATTCCATCCAACAATGAAAAAAAGGCCAGAGGTTTCTTTAATTACCAAGGTACATGTGACAAATTAGTTGCTTTTCAATAACTGGTTCTCCATTGCCCCCCTCATCACCATTCTCACCAGCCCAACCCTAGTCTTTGGAAGTTCAGTGTGGTCCAGAGTGAGACCAGTTGACTTAGAGTTGGATTCAGGAGATCCCATGTTGTGTCTTAGTCCTGCCACTGAGCAGCTAGACAAATCAAACATTTTGGGGGCTCAGATTTTCCTGCTAAAGTAATAAAACATAATAAGAACTTTCTGGGGGAATTTTGATGTGCAAATAAGATAGGAATGTGAAAGTGTCTTGTAAACCTTAAAGTGCTGGACAGATGGTTGTTGCTGTCAAATGACAGCAATAGAGAGCATATGAAGGGGAAAAGAACACAGCTAGGATAATTTGTTTAACCGCTACAGAGCACCAAAGTTAAACAGAGCCATTTCTTCCTGCTAGACTTTTGTGCACCTTGATTTCCTATAGCATTACTTAGTTAAGCCTCAATTTCCGGTCAGATTTTCAGGCATAAAAGGCTGTAAGAATGAATTAGTGTAGTGTCCTATGATAACATCACTGAACATGAAATCCAACCTCTGTCTCTCCTATTCTACTCCTCCTATACACTCTTTGCTCTCCTTCCTCTCTAGCTTACTCAATAATCCACTGCTGTGATTTTTCTCTTAAATATTTCCCTTCATTATTTACTCAGTCGCCAGTACTTGTTTCCTTTTTATATCACATCACCTCTTTTTTCCTGATTCTTTTTCTCATAAAAAGTGTTTTATTTGTTTTGCATGTTACTATACTTTTCCTTTCTATTATTTTCCATCCTTCCCACTCTTACCAGATTTTGTTTCTTTATTTTTGCATTTCAGATTCTTTTGTTCACAATTTTCTCCCTCCTCTTTTTATCATTTTCCTTTCTTTTTCTCTTCTAGATTGTTTAAGTAATTTGATGACAACTTCCAGGATAGCATTATTTTATGAACAAAGCTCCTCACTATATTATATTGAGAATTTTGTATAAAGATTTAGAATCCAATCTCTGGGAACAAGGATTAAAGAGATTAGAACATTAGTAGTAAAATTGTAAAGCCGGGCTCGGTGGCTCAGCCTGTAATCCCGCGCCTTTGGGAGGCTGAGGTGAGTGGATTGCCTG